ATACTTTTCAACTTTATTGTAACATCTTTATATCTTGAAAATGGACTTTGAAAGTCCGAAACGTCGATAAAATAATAATGAAAAGCAAATTATTCAAAACTGCTGTTAATTCTATTAGATTCTTCTCTAAATTATTACCCGTCAATAAAAGAAATTATTTGTCTTACACTCGGCAGCAATACGGGTCTTATATTACGAACAATCTCTTCTTCTTTGGAAAGTTGCAGATACAAATTACAAAATTGAAATGTGATTTAAATTTTCTAAAAACTTGCAAGAGAGAAAGCCTATTACCAAAATTTATTCAGTTTAAAATACCGTCTACACATTTGCATTACCAAGGAGCTATTCAAAAATGTTATATCCAGATTTTACATGATGAAATAAAGATCAAGAAAAGAAAATTATCAACAAGTTACCGATTAACCCTCAATTTAAAGTCACTGTTGTCTGAAGACATTAACTCTCTCATTTTGTCTAAACTTGAAACAATTATCAACCAGATCCGTCTACATAAACAAAATGAATGGCTGGATGTTCATACGAAAAAACTAAATATACTCCGATCATTAAATAAATTATGTTCAAGTACAAAACAAACTCCACGATTAATTTCGTCAGTTAAGAATCTATCCAAGCGTACTTTGAGCGAAAATGAAATTAAAGCTTTAGAAAACGGTTTAGATTATGTTTACCCTTCGTTACGATTTGATGAGGAAACATTTATTTCTAATATTGAAACATGCTTTGTGACTGTGTTAGGACGCACAACTGATAAATGTGACTATGATGAAAAAGACTCTGACGAAGATGTTATTTACAACATGTCGCCAACTCAATTAAAATTTGCCAATAAAATGAGAAATATTTGTGATAGTTTTCGGTATAATGCAAAGCGTGTGTTATCAAAGTTTCACTCTAATATTGCTAGCATCATGAAAACATTAAAAAACTTAGCCAAAGACAAATCCATAGTGATTACTAAACCAGATAAAGGTAGAGGGATTGTCATTATGGACAGAAACGAATATTTGACCAAAATGAATTCTATCTTATCAGATGTTCGTACTTTTAAAGAAATAAAACAAGATCCAACTATAGAGAAAGAAGATCAACTTACTAGGAAATTATTACAGTTAAAAAATGATAACTTTATCACAGTTGAAGAATACAAAAACATTCGACCGACCGGTTCACAACCTGGTCGCATTTACGGTCTTCCAAAAATACACAAGGTTGGTAATCCTCTAAGACCTATTGTATCAGCAATCAACACATACAATTACAAACTATCTTTAATGTTAGCAAACAAATTAGAACATTTACGAAAAAGTGTTACACTTATATTAGACACCTTCTCATTCGTCAAACAGTTACACGAGTTGAAAGTAAATACAGATGAAATAGGTTAAAGAGCGAACAAATGTTTAAATTTCACTTTTACTTTCTCGGTTTTGTATCTTGCATACTTTTCAACTTTATTGTAACATCTTTATATCTTGAAAATGGACTTTGAAAGTCCGAAACGTCGATAAAATAATAATGAAAAGCAAATTATTCAAAACTGCTGTTAATTCTATTAGATTCTTGTCTAAATTATTACCCGTCAATAAAAGAAATTAAATAAAATGATCTTTAGCATAAAGATGATTTAAACTATATCAGAGGAACAATGCCTTAGTTTACGATTCTGTGACCTCATATTTCCTTATTAAGGTATAGCAGTTATTAGCATCAACCCTAATAGAACCGTTTTCAAAGGTTAGACTACTTTCGGCAGATGTTGGGTAACAATGTAAACGTAATGTCTGATTTAAAATATAGTATAAACTATGATTGTCGGGTGTCCATTCGATAGTATACAGCATTATGGACGCCGATTCATCCGTAGTTAGACCATTTGGAGGAGATTCAGATCGTTGCTTTGCCACCCAAATGTTTGATCTTAGACTATCAGGGTGAAAAAGATGAGCAACCGGCAAAAGGGCTTGTTCGAGCGGTAATAAATCAACATTTTGATAACCTTCAATGGGTAGCAATATTTTTCCATCTTCATTAATAACGTCGAGAAATCGTGAAGTCATATTAGATCACAAAAGGATTTTCTAAAATGGTTGACAGAAACGATAGTGGTGAAAGATAATACGACAACAGTATCGAGCAATCTGACCATTAGATGATTTTTCTGCTAGGTTTTCCTCCATAAGAAGACCATTGAACGTCTTTCCATCGTCAATGGCATAGATTGAATGCACAAATTATCGGTTCAACGTACTCCTTTCGAAACAGACACAATCCTTTAGTCATCGTATCAATTAGAACATCAGCATTGAAATATTCGTTCTTACTTGTTGGTTATAAGCGCACATGAGGCATTGTACACGTGCATATTCAATACACACGCCAAATGAGACAGTTGGTGAGACGCCATGCAGGCGTAGATTCACTTCATTATATCTGTTGACTAGTATTGCTGACATCAACGAATGAAGTGTCTAGGCATGCAACGGTAACGATTTTCACTTCTTTCCGATTATTACTTCTTATCGATTCATCGGTCAAACTTTTTAAAAGAACTACCGTAAGACTTACAAGATTTTGATCTACTCACAAATGTAAAAACAGTTCAAGACTTGCACAGCCCTTTGTCGTACGGTTCTTCTTTTATTAAATTTGGTTCAAAACTGACCGAGTTATGAAGAATAAATTAAACGAGAGTCATATATATACAACTGCGTATGCGAGAAGGGATATGTCTTAGTTGCCGGTTCCTTGATATAAGGAAGAGAAGGAAAAAAGAGAGAAAGGATGGTGAGTTTATCCATGTTGCAAACTCACTTTCCTTAGTTTGATTTTACTCGGCAAGCGTCAGAAACTTATCGGTTTTTTTATCGCTAAGAAGCAATAAATGTATGTATGACACCGATCGATAATCGGTAAGATACGATAAAACCGATAAACTATATCCTTGCATGCCTAGAAGCGTCTGTTCTCTCTGAAAACTTATTATATCGAGCACACATGCTAGTAAACCTTTTTTCATTTTATTTCTTTAATATTTCTGTCAGATCAAACCGGACAAGGCTGAAATTTTCAGAGTGCATGCAAATCCAGTTTCTCTACACATCCTTAAAATTTCTCTTCATTTGGTCCTTCCAATACGGTTTTATGAATGAAATATAGGCACGTAACGAAAGCACGAAAAATGGACATCGACTTTGACTTCAGTGTGACGAACTGCAAAACTCAGCTCACCTGTAACAGCTACAAAAAAGCTTTAGGTAGGAAAGTTGTAGGTCATACAAATATCTTTAGAGTCTATTTTAGAATAGATAGTCATGCGTCTTTCGTGTATTCCTTCGTAACCTATTTAGATCCTTCTAAAAATCAGAATTGCATAACTATCTTACTGCATATCGTGTAAACACCAATCGCCATAGCCACCAATTTCATTTATCAAATTCGATTTGATGGCCTGTGTTGAGTTTCCATTCGCATATATATCACATTCAAGAGCTGTATGCATAGATATAACACCCAGACAATAAATAATCTCCGAATGATTTGATATTTCTCTTAGTCGAAGAAGAAATTTTCCTTGCAATTTCTTTAATTCGTTGAAAAACCTTGTTTGGCGCTCTGGTGAAAATGTTAGAGATGTTGTAGGCGCAAACCGTAATAATTTAACGAAATCAATTAAATCGAATATGAAATCTTGAATTACTTCTGTGTACATTAAATGTTTCTCGTCCTAAGATCACATTTCCAAGCCAACTTTTGCCAACGCTACTGTTGCCAAGAATAATTGCACTGACACTATTATCAGACGTGGCCATTCTAGAGAAGAAGCAACTTTTTGATGCTAGTTGATAGAAGCACCCGACTAGTTAGAATCTGTTCTTGCAGGGCTAATAATTTGTGGCTAATTTGGTTTCAGCTCTTTATCTTTGGTCAGTGTTTGCTTTGTTGTAAACTAGACACATACAAGCAAACGTAAAGCGAAATTTTTCGAAAAAAATAAAATGGTATCACATTTCCTGACCTTCTATCATGTGCCCATGACTAGAGTGGCTTGCTCCAGCATCCTTTTATGAGCGCTTTTCATAAAGCTCTAATGTTTTGCGAAAGAAGCTGGACCACAGAAAAGTCTCAAAAGAAATTCGAAATTAAGAGATCAAAAAACCATGAGCTACACTTTTTTGTTTATTGAAGTGAAGACAATAGTGTTCAGTATCCAGAATCATGAAGTAGGACACCCATTTGGTAGGGAGTAAAGCATTGACAAAGCGAGTCGCGGACTTCCAGCGACATTGTACCTGCTTCATACATACTAGGGATGAGACACCCTACATACTTACGTATGCATCAGCTCCAGTTATGACTGGTGTACTGGGTACCAAACGGTTTTGATATCCAGCCAACTGGACTGGTGCATACCCACGTTCTCAGTCACGAAACCATTTGGTATCAGATCTGTTTAAAAGTGAATGGTGAGCATATCTGGTACCTAACGATTCGGTAACTGGATACTCAAACGGTTTGAGTATCTAGTTAACTGAAATGGTCCATACCTATACCTACTATGCCTCATCCAGCATGCCTTCGTTTCTCTTAATTAACGGTAATGAAGATAATTTTTTCTTTTGATACAAAGTATAACAATAAGTAGGCCAAATAAAACTTGAGGTAGTTATATGCGAAGACAATAGAAAGTAGGAACTTTCTTTGTTCTTCGCTCCTTATCTTTTCTCCCTGCTTAATCATGTTGACTCAACATTATATAACGGAAAGAAGTCATGACAAAATATGTCCTTGGAAAAATATTTGTTTATACTTGTTATTGTTTTATACTTATTTAATACGAGAAATTACCGAAAAACGACAATTCAAAATGTTCAGAAGTTACTTTTGTTTTGTAATAAGAATTAGTTTATATACTTTATTCAACTTGCATATAGTATTCAACGACACTTCTTTTAAAAAAAGCTCAAGAGGCTATCAATTCCTGCCATATTTAAACTGAAAAGAAGCGAAGGATAAAGGAAACAACCAAACGAATGACTGTTAAAACAGAAAAGGTTACTTAATCCTCGAGAGTGAGCAAGAAACGAATCGTAGAAGTAAAAAATCGTAAAACAATCGATCCTCTGATATATCGCTACAGCAAGCACATAATTGAATCAAATCTACATTAAGATAGGGTTTTCATACCCTTCAGTTTAACATATTTAACGCATGCAATTGTTCACACTTGTTTATTTTTAAAGTGTAATAATCAATCGATTATTATATTTCCTTGACACTACTAAAACTTAGCCATTCTAGGTTGAAAATTTTGTCTTTGTCGCCGTGACACATGAAATTTACTACTTGATATGCTTTCTTCGAAGAACACTTACTGTTGTGCGTTCTTATTGTTGTACTAATGTATTTGTGAATAATTTTATCTGTTTGAAAAGATTTTGATCATCTTTATCTTTAATAACGCATCATAATTATCTTTTGTTTTTTGTAATGCAGTCATACTGCAAGTTGGCATAGTGGATAGAAGCAAAAAATACTTCAGTGTTACCGATTAATTCAATTACAAAAGTTTGTTTATTCAATTACAAAAGAAAGAGTCCTAATTGGTGAAAAAATTATTGAAATTATCACCATTACTCGTTCATCGGTTAGACGAGGATGGCAATGATCGATTACTTTATGTCTGTCTCAAGGTGCACGGTTGCCGACATTGCGAGATTTCATACAGGATGATTCATGCTCAACAAGATTCTCTCGTTGATCTTCGGACTCGAGAACTTCGTTTTGAGTCATTCATTCGGTTTTTGTTCGAACTTCGTCGGAAAGTATTTTCTTAGATCACAACAGCAG